AAAAGTAATATTTATGTCACCAATGTATACTGCGTTATTTATTATTTGTACTGTGACTCAATGTTTTTTTCTAATCGGAGGGTTCGCAAGAACGAAAAGATGATGACGACGTCCGTCTGAAGATGATCCCGTGATGATCGAAACAGGTCGCCTTTCAAGGTCACAAGAATCACTTGACAACAGGTAATTGCACCAGTACACGTTATTTTTTTATGAAGGAGCAAGGAGATCACTCCGGGTGGACTTATGGATATCTAAGTGAATACGTAACCACCGCTGTCGAAACGAAACCAAAACTTATGATTCGTAAGACGCGTCCTAAGAGCAAATATTAAGGACGTCTATCACAATAATGTCACTGATTAAGGATGCAGGATCGACTTATTGCTGCACAATAACGCCCACACAGGATCATGTAGGTGGGTCAAGGACGTTCATTAACACAATTAGCCGGGTAAACGAATCAACTGATGAGACGGAGCACGACGTGTGTCGTGTATTATACGTACCACACTGCTGGGCACGTCACACACGTGCAATGGAACATATAGGCTGGACTGGTATCTTATCTCTAGATAAGTCACAGATACAGAGGACTGGCTAATCTCCAAGAGAACTGTGTTAGACTGTTATCTTACCTTGAGATAAGTCACAGATACAGGAGGACTGGCTAATATCCAGGAGAACTGTGCTAGACTGGTATCCTATCTCTAGATAAGTCACAGGTACAGAGGACTGGCTAATCTCCAGGAGAACTGTGTTAAACTGGTATCTTACCTTGAGATAAGTCACAGATACAGGAGGACTGGCTAATATCCAGGAGAACTGTGTTAAACTGGTATCTTACCTTGAGATAAGTCACAGGTACAAGAGGACTGGTTAATCTCCAGGACAACTGTGTTAAACTGGTATCTTACCTTGAGATAAGTCACAGATACAGGAGGACTGGCTAATATCCAGGAGAACTGTGCTGGACTGGTATCTTACCTTGAGATAAGTCACAGGTACAAGAGGACTGGTTAATCTCCAGGACAACTGTGTTAGACTGGTATCTTACCTTGAGATAAGTCACAGATACAGGAGGACTGGTTAATCTCCAGGACAACTGTGTTAGACTGGTATCTTACCTTGAGATAAGTCACAGATACAGGAGGACTGGCTAATATCCAGGAGAACTGTGCTGGACTGGTATCTTACCTTGAGATAAGTCACAGGTACAAGAGGACTGGTTAATCTCCAGGACAACTGTGTTAGACTGGTATCTTACCTTGAGATAAGTCACAGATACAGGAGGACTGGCTAATCTCCAGGACAACTGTGTTAGACTGGTATCTTACCTTGAGATAAGTCACAGATACAGGAGGACTGGCTAATCTCCAGGAGAACTGTGTTAGACTGGTATCCTATCTCTAGATAAGTCACAGGTACAAAGGACTGGCTAATCTCCAGGAGAACTGTGTTAGACTGGTATCCTATCTCTAGATAAGTCACAGGTACAGAGGACTGGCTAATCTCCAGGACAACTGTGTTAGACTGGTATCTTACCTTGAGATAAGTCACAGATACAGGAGGACTGGCTAATCTCCAGGAGAACTGTGTTAGACTGGTATCCTATCTCTAGATAAGTCACAGGTACAAAGGACTGGCTAATCTCCAGGAGAACTGTGTTAGACTGGTATCCTATCTCTAGATAAGTCACAGGTACAGAGGACTGGCTAATCTCCAGGACAACTTTGTTAGACTGGTATCCTATCTCTAGATAAGTCACAGGTACAGAGGACTGGCTAATCTCCAGGACAACTGTGTTAGACTGGTATCTTACCTTGAAATTAGGCAAAGGTACAGAGAACTGGCTAATTTCAAGGAGGACTGTGTCATGTGTTACTTTGTACGATTCTGAAAAATCTTTAATTTAAATTACGATGCATATTGAAGGCAAATACGTTGGATATTGCAACTAGAATACTTTTCTCGTTTTTAAACAATAAGTATATTTGATGTGTTTTTTATGTCTGGTCAGTCAAGAGGGTCTTGTCTCAACCAAATCATTCGGTCATAATTAAGGGTATACTTTACATCTTCCATGTGCTATACTTGTTTGCTTTCGCAGTCTTATTCAAATCGATCGTTTTAAATTAGTAAAGTGAAGTGTAAAAGTGTATCGAATGGAAATATTCCTTAAAATTGTCTTCAACTAATTAATGAAGCAAACCAATATTCAAGAACCTATATGTTTCTATGGATGGTAAAGGTTAGCACAGAACCTCCGGATTGATAAGTTATCTTAAGCGTCTTAAGCGGTTATGTAGGTATTCCATGTGACAGATAAATTACATCTAAAATAAACACATACCAAATTTGTCTTCAGTATAATCAACAGTCGTCACAATTTATTGGTGGGTCGTCTTTTGAAATTAGTGTTCCATGGTATTTTGACGTCAAATTGCCTGCTAATCAATTTTTTTTATGTAGTAGTCTAACCTAATATAACGTATCCCAAATTTTTTTAGATCAGTTTAGAAGCTGCTTCTTAACACATTTTAGAATTCAAGAGCTCAACCCAATTTCTCATACTGTTAAATCAGCTGACTAAACAATTTGCTGTTGAAATTCCGTTACACAAACGCTTTCAACACTCAACTTTATACTCGTGTCAAATTCAAACATTTGTCAATTCAAACACACAAATTTAACACTTCAGCTATATTTGTAGAGGAAACGCAATTTCATGGATTATGTTCAAAGAAGAGTCCATCGTTGTTTTGACATGTTGAATATTATGACACCAGGAATGTGTCAAGTATAAATACGCTGATTTTACTATACGATTATAAACGGTCAAGTAGTTAAATATAATTCTCACGATGATTTATAAACAGAAATTTTGAAATATAAATCATTACTTACTGTTTGATACCTGATACAATGACAAACTTGATTTGCGGGGTAAAAAATCACTTTTCCTACAGTCACCCGACAAAATGGGCTTCCTCGCACTGATTATAGTACAGAAAGCTGCTAATTGCTGATTTTACTTACTTTGTCGCACCGTTTATACTTTGTCGCATGGTTTATACTTTGGCGCACACCAGTATTCCAACCAAACAACAAAAAACAGCATGGTCTTATTATGCACGTTACACTAATCCGTGTACACTTGGAAATAGGTTGGCAACAGTTAAAGATACTACTAATATGATCAGCTGATTGACTATAATTCATAATACGATTTAACCTGTCATTTCGTGTTTATATTCTATTTTCGTTCAACGCTTATTTTGAACGTAACCTAAAGTGTAGTATTTAAAAGAATTATAAGTGGGCCTAACATGTTTGAGAATAATGAACTCGGTGATTGTGAATATATGTGTACACCAGAAGAAATATGTAGCAGAAACTGCAAAACATATTTAATTAAACATGTTTCCTGAAAAATCAAGAAAGGAGAATAGAATGAACGAACATACGAACTGTTTTCTTCTTGGTTCCTAAGTAAGAAAGTTACAAAACTACTTGCTTATTCTGTTTATACTGATTATTACTGTTTATACGTGTACTTTGAAAATAAGTAACACCTAAAGATACTACGACTACAATCAGCTGGTGCAGTGTTTCCCATTCCGTTCAACGCTTGGGTTTAACCTAACCTAAAAATGTGTTGTATGGTGTTTGAAAGACTAATTATTAATATGTTTTATAGTGACTGTAATCTATTTTAGACTTGAAAAATGTAAGCAAATCGGATCTGTAGAAACCCAAAAGACGCAAACCTACAATATGTACTCTATTTGATCTTGCGAAACACCATGTTGAGTTTTATTTACAACAAATTAGAAACACACTCAACCTCATTAATAACTATGCAACAATGAATATCAGCTGATTTGCAATGAAATAAAAATACAGTGATGCCAACATGCTGTACTTGTAATTAGTGTTGCGTAAAAACACTGTATTTTGATATAAAAATAGGTCTAATGGTAGATGTAATTTTTATTTAACTCTTTAATTATACAGTTATATAGTCGATTATGGTATTATTCCACTTGCATGATGATATTTTTAGTACATAGTATGATGCTTTTAATCATACGTAATACAAGTAAATAGTACAGCGTTAGGTTGAATATACTTCTACCAGATATTTACAGAAAATTTATACAGTGTTTGGTAACTGCTATAACTCCAATTCGGTGATTAGTTTTAATATTTATTTAGTGTTTTTGTTTTGTGCATGTTTCACAGTTTATATGCAAGTGGATGAATTTATAAATCCCTGCTAGATTTATTGTAAACATTATTGCGGAACTGTATGCTTTTGAAATTTTAAAATCAGATGTTTAGAAAATTGTTGAGAAATTTTTACAATTCTGACATTTGAGCTTGGAGCTGCATGTGAGAACAAGTTTTATTTAATCCATTGTTGCTGCAAACCAACCGAAAAACTAGAAAAATTATACAAAATTAATCGAATAAAAGTGTCACATTTTTTTAAATTCTTGATAGAATAAAGTGCATGATAACCGTATATGAACATAAAAAAATAGTAATTCAAATAAGTACACATAACTGATGCAAAATATTTGTCAGGACATCATTCCATGCCGTTGTATTCACACTATATCATACTAAAGCACAATTTTTACCGAATTAACGATTTTTAAATTTGAAAATATACGTACAGTACTAATGTATGTTTTATGTTAACTTATTTTATGTGCACACATTTACGAATCTAAACATACAAAATTATCCTAAAACATACTAAAATAATCCATCAAGCCCTTTATTTAACATAGAACAATTCTAAAAATCTGTACAAAGGTCCATGTGGGATATTGATTAAGGATAAGTATCCACACGGATGTAGTTCTATAGACTAAACAATCAACAAGACCAAATCCGATATTTAGTAGAAATGCAATACTATTTTACGGTTTTACCAATTTACTTGAAAAGTTGGCTTGAAATGGTCTATTTTACAAGTGAGTAGCACATACCATGGTGCTGCTGTGCTGTCAGCCGCGCCGCTGCGAGTAGTCACACAGGAACACCAGTCACAGACTAGCTGGGTTTTGTGCGGCTTCCTAACCATATTATGGGATGTCGTCATCACCAGCTCTGCAGCAAACCTGCAAACTCACTCGCACCGTTGTAACGTGATACACAATTTAAAATTGTAAAACTTTGAACTTTTAGTTCGACATTAAAGACAATCTGTTTTGTTGCGTTATATTTCTTTATACACTTAGTACAGGACATACGTATGTGTTACACTTTGCTGCACTAACGTCATAAAAAAAGCTTACCCAACGTTATAAAACGTAGGATGACACGTTTGTACCAAATTTCATGTTTGTATCCACATTGTAAATTGGCGGTCTTACCGTTGATATGAATGAATTTCGTCATGATCTGATAATTTTTTCTCGCGTTATCGAGCTAATAGTGCCAGGTCTGTGAGAAATACGCTAAAACCCACTATTTATAGATTAGTTGTTATTTAGATTGTCTTGATTTTGTCATTTCTATTTTTGCTGTTGTAAAGTTATTACTTATTATATGGCGAGAGTTGTTCTGAAAAGCAGTTGTACTGAGAAACGACTTTCAATAGAGGCATTTTTATTTATTTATAAAATCCTAACTTAAATCATATTAATTCACACAAGTAGGTGGTACCAACTTGGCGACAACAGCTAAATCTCGCAGAGGAAATACTTAATTGAAAATATAGGGGTTGTAAGAGTCATAGTTTCTGGTCACATACCCCTATTGGTGTACACAAATATATAATACCATAGATTAAAGGACCATACCTGTGCGTCATCTATATGGCTCTCTTGCTCTCTGGACGTTTTAAAATGTGTAAGTATTAACGTTTCAATCAGCATAATACGCGATATTAATTTTACTGAAAGTAAATACAAGTACTGTACTCCTATTCTTTTAAGAAGTATAAATGGATATGTCAAGTGTTATTAGACGTTTTTATTTACTTTCCGTTAAAATGTGTGACTCAAACCGGATAAATATTTTTCTAATATCCCACAAGATTTGTGGGTTGACCGCAAAAATCGACTCAACCGATCAATATAAGGTTAAATTAACTGTTGTAAAATATTATTTAGCTTTGGTTGTTTTTTATTTGTGTATACTTTATTTATATACTAGCTGTACCCGCGGGCTTTGCCCCGTTTAACTTCATAAGTATTCGCATGGTTCAATCCCGGTTGGTTGAAGTTCGTTCGCTACGCTCACTCACCTTTAGGTTGGAGCTCGTTCGCTGCGCTCACTTGCCTTCAGGTTAGCTCGTTCGCTACGCTAACTTGCCTCCAGATTGAAGTTCGTTCGCTACGCTCACTCACCTTTTGGTTGCAAATTAGCTGTTGTCATAAATTAAAAAAATAATAATGCTGCACCCTGTTGGTAATCCTTGTAACTTTAATGCTATTGAACACCATAGAACAGAATCAACTTGTTATTCTGAGCCCGAAAGCCCGATCAGAATAAAAACTACTCAGTTCCTATTTAATGCCTAAAGAATCGGTGTGCCGAATTTCAGCCTCCTAGGTAAATGGGAAGTGGGTGAATTAGTGATGAGTGAGTGAGTGAGTCAGTGAGGGCTTTGCGTTTTATATATTTAGATTCTGTGCTATATTCATTGCAAAAATGGTGTATACTGTGTAAATAAATATGGCTGTATAGTACTGTGATATTATTTCTGTGAATACTATAGTACTTTATGTGCCTACGAGGAGGCTAACTAACATTGAAATTTAGTTAAAATATTAACCATACGATTCAAGGAAAGATATATAAGTTGCGTTGCTCACGAGGAACTGTATGGGAAATACAATTTGATCGTTATCTGTTAAATGTTAAACATTCTCAATCATTTTAAAGCCTTCAAACTATAGATCACAACCTATGTACATTACGTAGTTGAGATTGCATTGACAAATTTGAAGGAGAGAGAAGTCGTTTGCTCTAAAAATACCACCGCTGCAGCAAACCTACAGAAGAAAACTTAGTCTGACCCATCAAACCACTTACACATATGCCAAACTGCATTTCCCTGTAAGAGTATTAAGTGAAAAGTAAATTAGCGAATTCACATTTGCCTGGTTAGATTTTTTACTAACACATGTCAAATTATTCCCTCTTCTAAATAACACTGGATATGACGAGTGCTTACGTTTGCTAGTACTGTACTAGGAAGGGAGAACGCTTTTTGTTGTTAAAATGTTAATATCACAGGATGAAATGATTAAATTTGCCAAATTAGGTCATAATATGTCTATAAACAAGAAAACTACAACAATTTCCATTATCTCCAAAAGATTATACAAACAAATTTCTTAAGTTGAGTTTTTTTCTCCGTAACTTACAATTGTACAACACTTAAAATAATTTTTTTTCGTTTTTAGCTCTTCTTGATGGTTCTAACGAAAATTTGGAATTTTTATATATTTAAGAGTAAAAATTGGAAAAGAAGATATTTTGAAAATTTCAAATTCCTATAGCACTCAGTTCTTATAAACCAATCCTGCTGGTTCAAACTCATTTAAGTTTATGCCCAATTTTATCATAATCAGATCAAAATTACTCGAATTATTGTGTTCACGGACACATATAAAGAGAGCATATACAAACAAATAATTTAATACATTGAAGTGTTGTTGTATGCCCAAAGGTTGGGACAATGTACCCAAATAGTTTAATTTTTGAAAAAAAAAAATATTTTATTTATTTATTATTTCTTAAACAATTTAGGAACAAGTATCGAGCATTGGCTTTGTATTTTTAATATTCAAAATGTGTTTTTTAAATTAAATTTCATAAGCGCGCACAGCTGGCTTTTTTGCTTCAGGCGCCTAATGGAACCAAACAACCGAATTAAAATTTTAATTTTTTTTAATTTTTTTCTTAAACTATTTAGAAACAAGTATCAAGCATTGGTTTTGTATTTTTAATTTAGAAAACAGCATTTTAGATTAAATATCATAAGCGTCCACAGCTGGTTTTTCTGCTTCAGGCGCCTTTTGGAAGCAAAGCGTTTTTGCAATTTCCCGCAGATTTCTTTTTTAGTGTTTTCCATCACGTTTTAAAGCTAACTTTTTTTATTTTTTTTAGCTAGAGAAGTCAAATTTTGTACATATGTTCTTCAATATATTGTGCACAAACAGTATCATGGAAATTTACATATTATTAACCATAATCCTTAAATATTTTTATAAAAAAAAACGAAACTTTGTCAAAAATTAAAATAAAATGTCCCTTATCTATTTTTAATAGCATATCAAAAGCCATGTTACAGTTTGTAAGCTATTTATTAGCTTTGAAACAAAGTTAAAATAAAATGGAATACGTGCTATACAAAAGGAGTCAAAACGTAAACGTATGTTTTTTAAATCCCCCCCCCTAGCCTGAAAGAGAAAGGGGGAGTTCATAACATTTTTTTTTATTTTTACACTAGGATACACTTTGATAAAAAAAATAGGCCATTTATAAAGAAAAAGTATTTTTGGGTACATAGCCCCCAAGAGGTATAACATAAATGAATATTAGTAAAAAGGTCTAAACCTAGTGTTGAGAATAAAACAGGCGTAAACTACATGCATTTACCTCAAAACAAGTTACATATGACAACGAAATGGTGTTCAAATAAAAGTAATAATAGACTCTTGACCTATAAATTAATCTGTAATAATGGGATCACTATTTAATACACGTAACGAACGAAATCGTTGTTGGCTTAGGTGACGATCAAACAAGAAGGATAGGTGATGTAAATAACATACATCTCGGACTAGCAGGATTACGGGCCACGCCTCGACCCCAGGTAAGGGGCACGATTTGTAGCCTACAAATAATATCAATTAACTTATTCTTGTGAAGTTTATGTTAAGTGTATAGAGGAGAGTTGGAGTATTTGTGTATTTTAGCCATCTAAATCAAAGCGGGAGTCAACGTATAAGAAGGTGTTTTGTTAATTACCAAGGCTTTAATTTTTTCTTTATGTGTAACATTTACAATCTATAGCTTATTATTATCTTTCTAGCTGAAGCCTATTTTGTTTCTTGATTTAATACACTTAATATTAATAGTTATAGATTCGCTAAATAGCAAATTTTATAATTACAGTGGATAGCCATTGGTGTCACGATCTAGCGGCGAATACACAAACTACTAGGCCAGTTGCCTCTTATCGCCGCAGAAGCGCTAGCTTTCTGGCTTCTGTGTCTTTAGCTAACATTAGAATAACTACAACGTAATATAAAATACCCTCCCGAAGCAAACCTGCAGATTAAGCTTATGCCAATTATCTGATTAAACATTATAAAATATTGCCTTAAAATGGCATTTCTATTCCTTGTATGGAGAAAACAATTAACGAGTATTCATAAAAATAAATAAAGCTGTCCTAAAAAAGGTTGCAAACTACATAGAAACTCCCTAAAATATTGAATAATTATAACAGCAATGATTAGCTTTGAAGTTAGTCAAATAAATTATTTCTCGTTAAAGTTAATGACCTCCTTTTTATGGTTAATGTATAATCATTTTCAAAAGGGAACGGAACGGTCCAAATCATAGTATTGTTTCAAAAGTTCACAAATAAGTTTGATAATGTTCCTCTAAAACCAATAGACAATCCCAATTATCCCTACTTTCTAAACGTAAACTTTGGAGAAATTTAGCTTGAAATATTCAAAGTTAGTTTCATAGCTTTATAATATTCTATACCTTTCCCACATTGCCTTCATTAAGTTGATTTAGGTTAATTTTATGTCATGTTTTGTTTTATTTATGGTATCTTCTTAAAACATACAACCTTCTGAGTTTGGAAAATTTAAAATTTCATTATTTTTTATCAGGTGGTTTAAGTGTTACTCTTGTCCATTTGAGTATCCCAAATTTTATTCAAACAACTCATAGGTTTTTGTTTGTTCAGGAAGAAAACGTCCGTCTGATTTTGTATAGCTCGATAAAGAAGGTACTGAAAAAATAGTGGAATTTTCTCACACATGTAACTACTATACTCAGAATTATTCATTCTGATAGCCCCTGGACTACGAAT